CTTCATTCAAAAACTCATTTAATTTTATTCAAGCCATGCAACTGATCCAAAAAAAAATATCCCCCCCCCCCCCCCCCAAAAATCCTTGCCTTTCACGTCATTCCCGGACCACCAAGGCTACAACATCACTCTAACACTATTCAAAACTAGCACTTAGCATAATTTCTGAAAAAAAAAGTATGGATCTTCAGCTGGTGGAAATCAGAACAACTGTCAGGCCACAGCCTTAAACACGGGGCCTCGATCTGCTCTGTTTAGCTGTTCAACCCAATCTTCCACCTCTCAAGCTGACCAGTTAGGTCCAGCAGTGCTGGCCGGAAATCTCCAGCAGGGCCCAGCCATCTGCTCACTCCCTGCTACTGGGGTGGCTGCTCAGGTTCAACCGGCCCTTCACTCCCTCCCATATAAACCTCTGAGCAGGACCAGGAAGTGTCTGGGCAAGAGAGCTCAAACTGAACCCAGTTTGCCCCCCTGTTCCTTAGGGCTTGCGCCTCTGCCTGTTCTCTATTCGATCTCCTGGCTTCTCAACTTGCCTTGCCCCCCAACTCTCTGCTCTGCCTGATCCTCTGGCTCAGCTTACCCCCCAGATCCAGTGCCCCCTGGTTCCTGACCCAGCTTGTCCCTGGAATCCACTCACTCCACCCAAACCCATTGGCCCTTCGAGCCCCGAATGACCTCCCGGACTTGGCCACCCATGACCCAGCATGATAACACCTCCCCTGAAATCAAAGGATCAGTTGAGAAGCTGGCTCAGACTATTTGGGAGAAGTTGAACGGTGCCCATCATAACCAGGAACAAGCATCTAATTTCCAAAACCCCAACCACCTACCTTGGACAGTTAACAGGGCTGTTGTTTGCTGGTTTCCATTATCACAAGTGTATTTTCCTGAGTCTTCTGGTTTTAAATTATAAATCTTCAATGTATGGGTCATCCCTTCTTGCCTGATTTCGTATTTGGTACTTGAAGAAATCACTTGGGAGCCCTTCCTCCACTCCACTGAGACATTGGGCTGCGAGACCTGGCATGCCAAGACAGCCGTACCGTCCTCCTGCATATCTAGGTTTTTTAGCTTCTCTTTGAAGACTGGGGGCAATGCTGAAATGATAAAGATGGGAAAGATGGCAATCCAGGAGCCTACAAATGCCTAGTATCCTTTTCATAATACCACTTTCAACCACTTATTCTCTTCTACTCGGTCTGGAGCTCTTCAAAATGCTTTGTTCCCCCATTAATTGGCTTGCAATCGCGACAATGGAATCTTAAATGCTGAAAAGAGGTTTATTTTCTATGTGCATGCTGTAAGTGGAAGCCTACAGTTTAGACTCAGCCACTCGATTGCCCCTCTTAAAAACTGCCCCAACATAAAGAAGCCCAAATTAGACGCACTGAATGCATTTAGCCTGATTCAGGCATGATGGTGACTTGACCTAGACAGTGGTTACAAAATGTGGAAGAACAAGGAATGATTTTCTGAGTGAGAAGCTCTATATACCGTACGGTGGAGAAGGGTAGGAAACAATGGGGAAAAGTGAGGTGCTTTATCAATAGACAGCCAGTCTTGGTAATGTATCTGGTCAGAGCAGTTCTACGCTGGTGTGCAGCCAATGCCTCCATAAACTGCATTCAGCTCAGTTTTCTGGACGTTTTAATGTTGGCGGCTCTCCCAAAAGCCATCTCCCTCCCAGACCATGCAGCTTGTTACCTTTCACGGTGAGCTCTGCTGTGGATGTGTATGGCCCCACTCTGAAAGCAATGGTGCCCGTATCCTGCTGGGTGACCTTCCTCAGTCTCAAAGTGTGAACCCTGCCTTGCTCCACAGAGATCTCATTCATTTCATTGCTTTGCAGAGCAACGTCCTGTAGCTTCCACTCCACGTCTTTGGCATTCTCGTGAGACACCTTGCACTGAAACGTGGCATCTTCTTCCTCAAAAACCACCATGTTCTTCAGGCCACTAACGATGGTCACATCAGGTTCTGCCAATGTTGCAAGATGCATTAGTTGAAGAGCTAAAGGTGTCTCAAGGACCAAAATCCACAAAAGTGTTTAATCCTAATGCTACAAAACTACTGGACTACTTTATCAAATCACATCCTTATTCACCCTGGTATTCGAGCACTCGGTATCACATCTCTAGTCACCCTGGTATTTGAACACCTCTGAGCAGTATATGAAGCAGTATAGCTAACAGCCCTCACAAGGGTTATCCCCCCTTTTTCTAATGAGTATATTGTGTATTAATTATGATTTGATGTTGCATGACGCTATGCTTATATGCCACTGAAAACAAAGGCAAAGATGATTGTACTGCTCATGGAATGGAAAATAGTAAGGGGTGGAAGAAAAGTTGAGATACCATGGGGCTATGTTTCATGATCTTGGGCCGACTCCAAAGAAAAATGCTTTCTTGGTGGGGACACAATGGTATTTTCACACCTGCCCCAGTCAGGAGCCATGAGATTTTAAATTTCTGCTATCCTGTGACAACAAGCATGTACTCAGGGTCCATTTTTCAAGCTTGTTTCATAAGTAGTGAGTATTAGACAGTGAAGTCTCAGCTCGTTGTAATGAAAATCTGTGCCCCCCGGTCAACAGCTCTTACCCTTCACGGTCAACACTGCAGTGCTCATCTGCTCCCCAGCAATGCAGGAATACTCTCCAGCATCCGCCGCCTCCAAGCGATGTATATGCAGCTCACGAATGGTACCGTCTTGTCTCATGTCGTACTTGGATCCGGACTGAAGCACTGCACCATCTTTCTCCCACTCCACTGTAGCGTTAGCGATCGAGACCTCACAGCGGAGTTTGACTCTTCCTCCAACTTCCGCTTCCTCGTTCTTCAGCTGCCGCGTGAACTGGGGTTTGATGGCTGTGAAGTCAAAAGCAGCCAATAGACAAATCCATTAGCTACATGCTTGGGTCCTGAAAGATCAACCAAGGTACAATGCAACACAAGGGGCCTCAGACTGTGGAGTAAATTTGTACATCGCCATCCTGATCAACAGCAGACCAACTGGTTGCCTCGCCTGGACCTGGAGAAGGACAAGCTGAGGGCCGTTTATCTAAAGCTTTTATTTCACACAAAGTCTAGGGCTTCTTCCTCAGGAGGATCTATCCCATGAGCCTTCTTCTGAAGCACCAGGTTGTGCACCCTGACTCCTAATGCCATTAGCACCCATCCTAAGTGGAGTCTGATTCTTCCCTTCCAAAACCAGTGTAAATTCATTGATTCTCATTGCTTTATTCCTGATTTACACCAACTTAAGTGAGAAGAGACTCCAGTTTGTACACATGTTCTATGTCACTATCTTTTCAAAATCCTTAGCTTCTCAACAATCACTCTTTACGGAAGATGCAACATTTGATGCACCACGTGCATCCAGCCAGCCAGGGCGCTGTTCGGACCAAAGAAGCGATTCCATCCAACCTCTTCGACAAAAGCCACACAACTTTTACAAGACAGGCTAATACGGAGACTAGAGACGCATGCGATTTCTGGTTTGTTTAAATGCTCAAAGCATTTAAACAAACCATTCAGAGCATTGAAGATGGAAATCACTTGGCCTTAAAAGTGCTTTTGCACCTGGCTGAGGATTAACGTGTCCGCCTAGTCACTGGAATCCATACTGCCAAAGGAAGAAGAATAAATGCATTTGCTCAGATCAGAAAGCTGTTACAGAGCGAGTAGCTCAGTGTATGTATTAATACTTGTGGGACACAAAGGGAGGTGTTTTGCACCTGAACAGCCCTTCTTTTGGAAGCTGTTCTGCAAGACCCCTCTTGTGCGCTCTATGATCGCGCATGATTTTTGTGCCTGCTCTTCTCTCGCTCATCTTATATTCACTTTGATGGCTATAAAGAAATCCAGCGTATCATCCAGACGATGGCACGCAAGAATATTTTGCTCCTGTGGGCGAATGCTAACCATTCACTCTGAGGACTGCCGTGCTCTGCTGGTCTCCAGTATCGCAAGTGTAATCAGAGGCGTCTTCTGGTTCCACGTTGTGAATGACAAGTTCAGCGACGTGACCCTGCAAGTTCAGGTCATATTTGGCACATGGGAAGAGGTCCACGGTGCCTTTCCTCCATTCCACAACTGCATTGGCCTTTGTCAGCTCACACTGGAGTCTTACTGACGCTCCTTCTTCTGCTTCCTTGTCCTGGAGCTCCTTTTTGAACAGAACTGGGAGGGCTAAAAGAAAAAGAAAATAACAGGGGCTTTTATTTAACCCCAAGTCAAGCACTGCTAGTGAACATGTTCAGGATCTGCTTGTGGGAAACCTAGAACCTGCATTTTGACAAAGCCCCACAAATGACTACTCTAAAATATATCTTCCGATCTGTCCATAACGATGGCAACAAACTCCACTACATTCAAAGGAGCAAGATGGATTCATAAAGTGTCCTTCAAGTGCTGTTTGACAACTTTCCTTCCCTTGGTTGAATTCTTCAAGCAAACTCGTCCGTGAACTGATTGCAGAGAAATGTCAGCGTTCAAAAACGAATCTTCGCGAATCTCCGTAGGAGAGCCGAAAAGGCTCAGGTGGTCTCCTTCCGGCAATCAGAGGGAGAAATTCCACTTTTCCTAATGGCACAGCTATGATATTAGCTATGCATTGAGTCAAACTGCAGTAGGGCTCTTCTCAAACTCTCCGAAATGTCTGCCTGGAAAATAACTCGCATTACAAGCAAACGCACAAATGCTTGTACAGACACACGCGCATGCTCAGAGTGAACAAAGTACCATGCACGTCCACGCCACTTTTCCTTTCAGTATAATGGTGTGGTGCTATTTTTAAAAAGTATTACTACAAGGTAAGGGAAAAAAAATAACATAGAAAAGTCACGGGCCTCAACACTGTGTTCCTGAATAACTTTGCCTCAGGAGTGAGGGCAGGTCAGAGAGGGACCCGTATCACCTACCTTTCACGTTTAACAAAGCCTTTGTTTCTTGATCCCCCGTATCACAGCTGTACTCTCCCGTGTCTTCTAGTCTGAGGTTGTGTATTAAGAGCTCTACAGAGCATCCCCTCTGTCTCATTTCATACTTATTGCTGGGCCGGAGCCCCAGGCCTCCTTTCCTCCATTCCACCGGAAAATTGGGTTTTGAGAGCTCACAACATAATGCAGTGGTCCCTCCTTCCTCAGCCTCCTTGTTTTGAAGAGGTTGCTTAAATACAACTGGCAGGGCTGCAAAATTTGAGACATAAAACATTTTAAGTACATTTTTGTCCCCCCACCGAAAAGGAGCCCCCCTGCCCAGGACCTCCGTGAAAAAGCTCATCCGGTGTTGATCCAGCTTTGGTCTGTGGACTATTTCTTGCCAGCCTGCTGCACAGACCATGTTGCGTGCCAGGAGTTGATGGCATTTTGCAGAGTTTAGGAGCACAGCAAACCCACAAGCAGCTCCATTTCCTAAGGTGATCCAAGGAAGACAGCAAATGGCTCGAGCTAACCAGACGTCCCTATGGAAGAATCTCCACGAGAGCAGAGGCTGCTTCATTCAAAGGCCAGAAGCAAGGACTAAAATGGAAGGAAATTTTGCTTCCTATGCTACCCTGTATCCTCATATCAACTCCTGAAACTTATACAAGAGTGTTGAGTTAGGTCTCCCTGCAATAAACCCTGAGCCAATGCCTTTCAAAATGTGGTGGAAGTGGTCAGTGCCATGGGAGATGAATGTAACTTTGTGAGTGGCACTAGAGAAAGAGGTTCATGTCTCGGGGGGAGCCCGTCAGTATGGCAGAAGGGGCTTGGAAAGCTAGTTAGGACAGCGCTACTTGACCATCAACGCTAGAGCCTCAGTATGTGATGCTGATCACTGGGACGAGGTAACAAAGATTTTTTTTTTGTTTCCATGCACTAGTGAGTAGCCCAGAAACACACAAGGGAACTCAGCAGCAACAACAAAAATCCCCATCTCTCTTTTTCCTCTCAATTAATTCAGTGACTACAGCCATGTTCAACATTTTGATTCAGAGCAAGATCTTAAACTTGCACCAGACACCGCTTTTCCCTTAGCATGGCCATATTCATAAACAGCAGCACTGATAGCACCAGTCTGCCTCTTTAATTCACTGCTGTGAGTAGCTCACCGAATCTCACCTGCTACCAACTTCGCTGCACTCAAATGACTTGGGTGCGTTGCATGCATACATCACTATATCGGTTTGACTGCTTTGCGGCTACCCAAATGTGTCAAACAAAACCCCTCCAAGGTAGCCTGAGGTCTACTCTCCGCTGGAGAGGGGTTTGAACTGGCATGTCTCCCTGACTTCCCAGCACAGTGCACCAAAGACATTATTAACCAAATGTGCATCAAATCTCCAGTGATAGTTGTTCAGGTTTCAATGGACTAGCAGCATACTCAAGACCATTCCTACCCTGGAGTTCAGGGCCATCAGGAAAGCAAGCACAGAGCCCTGGGGAAACCACGATTTTCTTTTCATAGCATATGTCCAAGGTTGCAGTGATCTGCCTACCATGTACGGCCACTGCCGCGGTCGTCTGTTGATCCCCAGAGTCACAGGTATAGTCTCCTGAATCTGCCAGTTGTAAGTCATGAATGACCAGTTCAGCAATGGAGCCCCGCTGCCTCATTTCATATTTCGGGCTAGGAGAGAGAGGGGTAGCTCCTTTCTTCCAACCCACTGGCACGTTGGGTTTGGTGAGCTCACACCGCAAAGTGACGGCGCTGTTTTCTTCTGCCTCCATATGCTGAAGCTCGTGTTTGAACAGGGCTGGCAGGGCTACAAAACAGAAACATGCCTTGCAGTCTACAACACTTAGGGGAGCTTGGGAAGGATAAGATGGCGGGGGCTTCAATTCTCTACCTCTTTCAAGTATTTTGGGGTAGCAAAACCTCAAGGATTTGCCATAGAAATCTAGGCCCTTTAACCCAAAGAGGTTGCACACATATTTTCAGAACTAGACGGTACCGTACTTCTTGCAAAAGCAGCTTTTGCTATGAATTATGCCCATTACCAGCATGAGCCAGGGCCATTGGCCAGAGGAGTCTATTCTTGCCACAAAAGATCACCCTCTGATCTTGGAAACCTACTTAGAGACAAAGAATTGTTCTGAAGACCTGCATTAGGAGATAAGCATTTCACACTTTTCTCTTATTGGAGAAGATTGGATGAAGATGAGAATGAGGATGGGCATGAAGATGAGGATGAGAAAGAGCTACACCCTAACTATTCTGTAATCACCTCCTTATTATCTTTTACAAATTCTCTCCTCTTCTTTCAGCATAGGGTGAACTAAGACAGGGATCCCAGCTTAGTGTTGTCACTAGTTCTTTTAAATGAACTGCCATTTTTTTTAATTGCGCTGGGCTGAGGCCACCTCCATGAAGTTACTTCAGTAGCTAGCACTGATATAACACGTGTATTGTCAGAAATTACTTCTGCCCTTTTATTTTTACCATTCACTGTTAAGGTGGCTGCCGTCCGCTGGTCTCCACACAAGCAGGTGTAATCCCCGGTGTCTTTCAGATCTAGCTCGTGAATAACCAGCTCTGCAATGGCCCCATCCTGTCTCACGTGGTATTTCTTGCTTGCTTTGAGCACTTGGTGCCCTTTCTTCCACTCCACTGGAGCAGCCTTAGTCAGCTCGCAGCGCAGCGTGACGGCGCCACTTTCTGTGGCTTCCAAGTCCTGCAGTTCCCTCTTGAACACAGGAGGCAAGGCTGAGGGATATAAAAAGGACAGAGAGCCTGTGAAAATTCACAGCTGACAGCTTTCCTGTCCTCTGCGGGAGGGAAACGTGTCTCATACAGTGTTACAGCCTGCTCCAGCATCCATGGAGTGCAATGGAGAGAGTCCCATTGGCTTCAGTGGGCACTGGAGAAGGACCATCAGGAGGACATGAAGCAAGATGGGATAAAGGATGGCAGAGGAAAACATTCGCAGGAAGGGCAGCTTTGGAAACCGCAGGGATAGCAATGCAAACAAATTCTTGGGCGCACAAAGAGACAAACGGAAGGCGTGAGAAAAAGAGCACGGCAACAACCAACAAACCCCGTTATAAAGAAAAAGAGCTGGCAATACATGGATTTCACAAGTCAAGCAGTAAACAGAGACATACAGGGAGCTCCTGATACACTATCATTTTACCATGCACTGTTAAGGCAGCAGTGGTCTTCTGGTCTCCACACACACAGGTGTAATCTCCCGCATCCTTCGGATGGATATCGTGGACCATCAGTTCGGAAATGCAGCCTTCTTGCCTCATTCTGTACTTGCTGCCTGGCTGGAGCACCTGGTGCCCCTTCATCCACTGCACCGGGGCAGCAGCCTTGCTCAGCTCGCAGCACAGCGTGGCTGTGTCACCTTCTCGGGCGTCCTTGCTGTGCATTTCCTCTTTGAAAAATGGAGGCAGAGCTGGGGGGTGCAATACAGAACGCATTACCAAGCAGCAGCAGTTCGTGGGTGACAGGTGGGATGGTAGGGGATGAACAGGGAGAAGGAACTTGGAGACCAGAGGAGGAACAACAGACAACTAGCAATGACATTACAACCCCAGAGGAAGAGATGGCCTAGCTCCCCGCGTGCTTTGTCCCAGGTTTAGAATAGTGTAATGTCACTGGCTTGGGTATAAATGCATCCAGATTTCTACTATTGTCACTAAAAGGAGCGTCAAGACTGTAATCTTTGGTATCCTGACCTGGATGATAAGGAACCAGCTTTGGAAAGGCTCGTCGAGGCATCATTTTACATTTCTCCCTTGCTTTCACCTCCTTGCGCCTCATTTTCCATCCCAGTGGATCAGTCTGGCTCAGCTCACAGAGTGTTTCCTTAAAAAAAAATCCCGATGGACTCGCTCCAAAAAGTGAGAGAACCAGCGCGCAGGGTCTGCACCCGACTCGTTCTCCTTTCCCAGAGCAAGGACTCCCGTGTGGCTGCTCCTCCTCCGTTCTCGATGTCTCCCTCGCTAGGATTCACCACTCATCAAACGGAAACAACCTCTTCCAAATGATGTTTGATGAGACGTGCATGCCTAGCACTCCTGACCAAGCACGTGAGATGCCATCTCAGTGTTCAACTTGTAGTGGTGAAGCTGCACTTGCACAAAAATACAACAACCCCCAATCCCAAACCTGGACCCTATGTCCTGATATCTCTCTTCTACACCCGTTTGAAACGGAAGTACTAATGTCAGTGGCACAACCCTTGGTTTTTTATATCAGCCTGAAAGCAGAGTCAAGTCCTAGCCCAAAGTCATCATTTCTCCCACAGGAAAGCAAATGTCAGAGCAAAACTGTATTTGTGTGATGCGAGCAGTGGTTGCAGGAACACACCTCTAATGGAAAACAAATTTGGATAGTGGAAATTTCAGCTAACCGAGGCTTGTGTCTGAGTACGATTTCCTTCCTTCTCCAAACAGCAGGGACAGACAGGGAAAGCAATTGTCAGGAAGAAAGAGTAAAGAATAGACAGGTTTGTTTTAGAAATGGAAAAGGAGGAAGCAGGATGTGTCAGATAGCACAGGACAGTGCTCAATGGGATTTTTCTATACATGTAGCCTCCGGTTCCTCAAAGCCCGGATTTGTTAATCCAAGGAAATGGGATGGGAGTGAATGAGGGAGACAGAAAAGATGAAGGACTATGACCACACGCAGCAGAGGTGTCCTGCAAAGCAAGTTGATAGCAAAGAAAACAGACATGGATTATGAAATAACTTTACCCTGCACTGTTAAGGCAGCTGTGGTCTGATATTCTCCACACACACAGGTATAATCTCCTGTATCCTTCTCATCTAGATCACAGATCACCAGCTCTGCAGTGGCACCTTCCTGTCTGATTTTATACTTCTCACTGGGTTTGATAATCTCGTGTCCTTTCTTCCAGTCTACCGGCGCAGCCTTGGTCAGCTCACAGTGCAAAGTGGCTTCTCCGCCTTCTTTACCTTCCTTATTCTTTAGCTCTTCCTTAAAAAGCGCTGGCAAGGCTAAAGGATGCAACATGGACAAGGGGTCATTGCAATTCCAGACTGTGAAACCCAATTTCTTTTTTTCATTTTTTTTCTTTTACTCGTGATATTGCCATTCACACCTTCCTCACTTATCCTAGCCTAATGTCTGCTTCGGGGCGACCAGCTTGTAAAAGTGAACATCCTAAGCCCTGTCTCTCCATGCTTTTAATGACTGCTGCTGCTTAACAACATGGGAGTAGGGTCCCAGGGTCCAGATCATGCCACATCTCACGTTTCCTAAGCCAAGAACATTATAACTGATGTGTAGTTCTTGTGTTAATCCAACTGACCCCTGCCGTTTGCCAGATTTAGTGGTATTTTCCCTATGCAGATATGACGTCTTGGAGGTTGAGGTGGTATTAATCTTTCCAAAGACTTTACATGCCAAAATAATGAAAGCAAGAGATAAATCATAAACTTCCCATTTTCCACTGACAGATGCAAAGAGCCCAGAGAATTTAAATGCTCACTTGTGCCCTCCTCAGAAATCTGCAAAATAAAAGAGCTGTACATGATGCGGACAGACCTGTTTTCAGGAGCAGGACCTGAGCATGGAGCAAATTCTTACAACACAAACTGCAATCAAACCAGCTTCATGCAGAACCGGCGTCCAGCAGGGAGAGAGGAGGGGGAAATCGCCCATCCCAGAAAGGAGTGAGAAGAGTGCCCTGGTCCATGCTTCGGAGAAGCACGGTGGGTATTAAAATGTGTATTAAAACCACTCTGCATAAGCAGCCTCTAGGTCTTCAGAGCCGAGGGATGCTATTTCCAAAAAAAAGGGTGTTGCAGTGGATGAGGTGCGCGGTAGCCCAAGACAAAGGAAATGTTAACACACAGCAAGGGTTGTTTCTTGGGAGCTGGGGACATGAAACAGCTGTGACTGCGGATAAGGCATCTTTACCCTTTACGGTTAAGGTGGCTGTCGTCTGCTGGTCTCCACATACGCACGTATAGTTGCCAGAGTCCTTCAAGTCTAGTGTGCGGATAACCAGCTCGGACAGGGCACCTTCCTGTCTCATTTTGTATTTCTGACTTTCTCTGAGCACCGTGCTGCCTTTCTGCCACTCCACGGGAGCAGCTTTGGTCAGCTCACATGACAGAGTGGTCTCTCCTCCTTCTTCGACTTTTTTACTCTTTAATTCTTCTTTGAAAAGAGCAGGAAGAGCTAAGGGCACAATAAACAGCACATTAATGCTCGCCGAAGGAATGCAACCGGCTGGGGTGAGCCGGAGAAATGGACACCGAGGGGGAAAAGGTGGGGGGAGATGCAAAAGGAAGAGGTTGTGGCAGGGGGGAAAGAGAGAACTTTTTTTTGCTGCCTCCATTCAGAGGGGTGAACTGGCAACACTCAAGAAGTTTGCCCTGCAACATAACTACACTGGAAATGAGCCATGCACGGACTGGAAGAAGCAACAGAGACACAATGAACTGATATCAAGACCTGGGTATGAATCCAGGGACGGACAGAGCTGAGTTTCAGGTATATTAGAAAATACTTTAATATTGACGTTTTGGGGTTTTTTTTACCATGTACTGTTAAAGCAGCGGTTGTCTCCTGGTCACCAGACACGCAGGTGTAATCTCCAGCATCCTTCAGCTCTATTTCATGAATAACCAGCTCGGCCACGGTACCTTGCTGCCTCATTTGATATTTGCTACTTGCTTTGAGCATCTTTTGCCCTATTTTCCACTCTACGGGAGCAGCTTTTGTCAGCTCACAGTGCAGGGTGACAGATCCTCCTTCCGCAACTGCCGCCTCCTTCAGTTCTTCCTTGAAGAGCACAGGCAAGGCTGAGGAGCAGAAAGTCAACAGGCGGTGTGTGAACAATCAGAGGGCTGAAGTCGGTGGCCAAATGAATGCTTGTCACCCCTTATGACTTGGGCTGACATCTGAACCGTTGGGGACCTCATTCTAGCCACTCCGATTGTGGTCACCATCACTGCATCCTGCAAGCAGAGCTCAGCTGCCAGCCACCACACAGAGGATGCACAACATAAAAAGCTCAACATACACATGGCTCAATTTGGTATGAAGTGCGCTGGGGGGGAAAAAAGGTGTATACGGAAATGTGCATAACGTACACCGGCCTCCACAGCTGTGCTGGATCCAGCCAGTCTCTCTCTGGGCTGAACACTAGCAGCCCCTTTTCTTTTTTAATTTACAGCCTAAGGGTTTGTCCACATGGAAATATAGCCTTGACGGGCTGTTGTAAAAGAGCTGTTTCAGCATTCGCTCCACGTAACGTGGCAGTTATATCACAGTGAGCGTGCCCACCTGGGGTGCGTCCCCATGAGTGGGAACATGCATTTACCCAGGGACAAATAGCAGTGGCACATATTTGTGCCGCTGCTACTTGTCCCTGGGGAATGCCCCCGCACGCTCACGCTGGCATACGGCAAGTTGCCCCAGGTGGGGTAGGGGAGGCTGGGGCAGCACCTGGGCTGGCCCTGGCAGCCTTACCTGGGGTTCACCCAGGGCTGCAGCAGCGATGATGCAGGCACACGGAGCCTGGCTGGCAGCTGGAGCATGGCTCTGTGCCCTCGTACACCGCTCTGCTTTTTTCTATTACAGGGTTTTTTTGACACCGGAATCACCTGGTGTCAAAAACCCCCACTCAGCACAGCAAATGCTTGTGTGGCACGTGCAGTTTGCAGCGCTACACGTGGGTTTGCGGCGCCGCAAACTGCACGTGTGCGTTCATCTGGACGTGCCCACCGAGAGTCAGGGCAACAGAGCTACTGAGCTGTAGCTTATTTTGCAACAGCTTCTCCAGGTGGATGAAGATAAGCAATGCCACAGTGGGGCATTCAACCCTGTCTCCCATCTCTCACTGCAGCAGAGTGGATGCAGAGGGAATATTTAAGCAGGGAATATGCAGATTAATCCATCCCCTGTCCCTCTCTTCCTACAGCTTCCAGAAGGAAACACATGGCGTTGTCCTCTTTCAGTTATACACCAATTAAAAAAAAAAAAATTATGACCCTAAAACAGGAGGTGACTCTGATAATGGGTGTCAAGGGAACACCCAGTAGCACATTAATCACTCATTTGCAACATGTGATTTACCATTCACTGTCAAGGTAGCTCTGGTCTGCTTCTCGCCACACATGCATGTGTAGTCTCCTGTATCCTGCAGACCTAAGTCATGGATCTTCAGCTCAGCAGTAACATTATCTTGTTTCAGGCTGTATTTTTCACTCGTGTGGAGTATTTTGGCCCCTTTCTTCCACTGCACCGGAGCAGGCTTGCTCAGCTCACAGTGCAGAGTGGCTGTTTCGCCTTCGGTGGCTTCCAGGTTTTTCAGTGCTTCTTTGAAAAGTGCAGGCAGGGCTGAGGATCACAGAATGAATGGGGGCTACGTTAAAAATATAACATGCCGGGTGACCGGTCTCAATGGGGCAGAGGGAATGAACAGGTCATGAGGGGAAAACAAGGGTAAAAGCATGGAGTAAGGGAAACGAGAATTGGTTGCAGTCAGCTTCCTTATTTCACAAGATATTTTTAAGGCCCATTAATGCACACAGGAAATTTCCAAGGAATAGGACAGACAAAGGAAAAGTAACACTGCCAGTACATGAGTAGCTGCTAAATAAGCCCCGATACACCTGCATGCGCAGTCGACCCCAAGGAGATAGCAGACACACACAACTGCACATGTCGTTCCGTTTTTACCGTGCACTGTCAAGGCAGCAGTTGTCTTCTGATCTCCACACACGCAGGTGTAAACTCCAGCGTCCTTTGGGTCCACATCACAGATAAGCAGTTTCACTGTGGCACCGTCCTGTCTCATTTTGTACTTGTCACCAGCTTTGAGCAAGCTGCTCCCTTTCATCCACTCCACTTGAGCGACTTTGCTCAGCTCGCAGCGCAGGGTGGCCGTGCCGCCTTCCGTGGCTTCCACGTCCTTCAGCTCGTCTTTGATGACTGCAGGCAGGGCTGAGGGGACGTAACAGAGAGGGCGTTACAATGGACCACTGAGTGCAAACACCAGGAGACAGGGAAGAGGAAAGGCAATGGGTAAGGGAAAAGGTGGAAAAGTGCAGAGTCAATGGCCCATCTCACTCTACGTAACCAGTACTTATTCGCTTAGCATCCTAACACAGACATGGCATTGAGGCTTATGGTGCTGTTTTTTCCCTAAAACCAAAACCATATATATGTGGGAATTATTTCACATATTGTTCTTATATGTCTATTATATGTTTATAAAATATAGTTTATATATTTATCTGGTCATGGCAATTATTTTATATGTATAATTATAAGATAATTACATAGAAAATAATTGCTGTGACCAGATACACACATAGCACATATTTTATAAAACATAATAGCATATAACATATAATAACACACACACCCATACATATACAAATACACATATAATATATGTATATGTATATATGTGTATATACATATATATAGTGTTTTACATACATATACATATGTATATATGTATATGTATATGTGTGTGTGTGTGTGTGTGTGTGTGTGTGTGTGTACACATATATATATAATGTATATATATGTATACATATATATATGGTGTGTGTGTATAAAGTCATATATATATATTGCGGTGTATATATATTACATTGTATATATACTGCAGTCATGGTAATCATGTATGTGTGTGCGCGCGCGCGCATGTGTGTATATATATAAAAGTATGTGTGTGTGTATACACACACACACATGTATGTATGTATGTGTATATGTGTGTTTACACACACATATGTATGTATGTATGTATGTATGTATACACACACACACACGTACTTATAATTACCATGACTGCAACATACAATAAAAGTAAAAAAAAAGAAAGCATCCAACAATGACAAGTGACACCAGGGCAGATCTAGAAATCCACGGGAGGAACCTGAAAAGGAATAACTCTGTTCGAAGTCTGTCGTTACCGTGCACTGCTACGGCAGCTGTGGTCTGCTGGTCTCCGCACACGCAGGTATAATCACCAGCATCGCTGTCGTCCACCTGGTGGATCACCAGCTCTGCCATGGTGTCCTTCTGCCTCATTTTGTATTTGTCACTTGGTTTGAGTACTCGGGGTCCCTTCTTCCACTCCACGGGAGAAGCCTTGGTCAGCTCACAGCGCAGAGTGACCGCTTCACCTTCTGTGGCTTCTTTGCGTCGTAATTCTTCTTTGAAAGAAGCCGGCAGGGCTGAGGAACAGAGAAGGAGCAAATGTTCTCATAACAGCCTGCCATGACAAACCACAGGTGAAATGAGTCTGAGGGTCACAAGCTTCTGTCCATCCTGTGTAAAGAGTCATCATATTACCATGAAACTGGCCATCGCAGGGCTAGAAAGGGAAAATCCCGCAGGTTGGGATGAGGCCGGAAGGCAGACACTCCTGTAAGGAAGGCGGGGACAGGTAGGTAGGAAACCTGAATTCATTCCTTAGTTCTGTTGATGGACTTTGCAGCCTTCAGCCACTTCCATCCCATCACAGTGTACAAAGGGTATGGTTACCGTACTCCTGCACTGGGCAGGAAGACGGCGTGGCTCCGATTTATCAGTGCTTATGAGGCACTGGGATATTACAGCAATGAGGGCCCATAGCTATACAGACAGGAAGGACTTCAAGCATAAAGGAGTATAGGCATGCATTAACAAGAGAGAAAATAGGGGGAACCTAGAGGACGTCGGTGTAATCACAGCACATAGGGGTCCACTGAGATGGAGATCAGGCAACAGGAAGGAAGATGCATTACCATGGGGACTGATTGTGGTGGGGACGTGATAGGAATTAGGGGGACGTCAGTATTGAGGCGTCCAGAGGGGATGGTAAAACAATCACATATCTAAACGTAGCCATTTTTTACCGTGCACGGTCAAAGTGGCCGTTGTCTTCTTGTCTCCGCATACGCAAGTATAATCGCCAGAGTCCTTCACCTCTAAATCGCGGATCACTAGTTCGGCCGTGGCTCCTTCCTGCCTCATGGTATATTTGTCACCTGGTTTGAGCACCTTATGTTTCTTTTTCCACTCCACTGCAGCAGCCTTGGTGAGCTCACAGTGCAAGGTGGCTGTGCCCCCTTCCGTGGCTTCCTCCTTCTTCATTTCCACTTTGAAATGTGCAGGCAGGGCTAAGGGGTGCAGAATGAACAGAGGGCATGAGCATGGCAGCAACCTGGCCCAGATGATGAGCGTGTTACCCGGTTGTGGTTCATGAACCGCAAAGGATGAGCAAAGCCTATTCAAGGTGCAACCCCTCAGGGTGAGAACCACGCAGCAATGTTTTGGGCGGGTTTGCGGGGGAGACATAAGACGGGTCTCTCTCTCTTTTAACATGGTCCACAGTGACACAACTAGAGAGACAACCTGGTCATTCAGCTCCTGCAAAATTGTCTTCAAGACAATGAGTTTCTTTTAACATGGTGTTTGTACAGCACCTTGCACAATGGGGAACCAAAGCCTGATTGGAGTTCCTCTATGTTACTGAAATACAAATAATTCATCAAAATAAGCCCACAAGTGAAATACTGCCTGGGACATTAATGTCATTCCTCTAGAAGACGTTTCCTTGAACTGTGTGTTCATGTGCTATTGAGCAACCTTTAATTATTTCCCAAAGAAAATGTAATCCTCTGTTCAGAACTGATATGGGAATATGTACCTTCTATCACAAGACTGGTTTTTTTAACCCAATAGGCCTCTTTTTGGACTATAATATCATTATCACATAGCTCCTGGTAAACTTAATGTTTCCTTTTTAACATCTACTGCCGAACAAGAAAAATCGGAAGTTTTATAGTTGAAATTGAGCTGTATTTTCCAATCCTAAATGTAAGTTTCTGCTGCAAGGGCTGACCAGCATGTGGCCTTATTCAGTGCATTTGGTTCCTCATTTCTATATCCACCAAAATTTTGCTTGAATCATCCACAGCGTTGAAGAAACTATGGAATAGAGATTATAATTTCTTATTTATACAGGTAGACTAAATGATGGCAGGCTGAACTTGAGGCTGTAACTCAGTTGACGGCACAGTCCTGTTTCAAGAAACAGAAGGAAGAACATGATATCATTAATTGGGGAGATATGCTTTACCATTCACGGTCAAGGCAGCTCTGGTTTGCTGATCTCCATACATGCACGTATAGTTTCCGGCATCTGTCAGATCCAAATCATGAATCACCAGCTCGGCCACTGCACCGTCCTGTGTGATGGTGAACTTTTCATTGGACCTGAGCACTTGGTCTCCCTTCTTCCACTCCACAGGAGCAGCAGGCTTGCTCAGCTCACAGCGCAGAGTGGCCGTCCCATTTTCGGTGGCTTCCAAGTTCTTCAATTCCTTCTTAAAACGCGGCGGGAGGGCTGAAGGTCACAGGATAGAGAGAGAGGGCTTTAAAATTCAGCCGGGTGGTTGCACTAGAACAGAGGGCTAACCTTATTCTCTGTGAACCCAGGTTACATGACATGGGATCTGAGATGCAAACAAAAGCAAGGTCAGGGGTCGCTATTTTCCCAATGCACCAAGTACAGCAATACTTGGTTTTCTGAGACTCTTAGTCTCAGTGCCAGAATAATGATGGTTTGAAAGGTTAGGACTGAGAGGCATTTCCAGACATATGCCAGATAGAAAAACCCATGCTGAACTTTCCAAAAAGGCGGCCTGCTGCTGTAGCTTGTGCTGTGATTATGTCAGCACTTAACATGTACCCAGTATATTAAATGGCATTGCAAGTTAAGATGTATGGCTTGCTTTCCTTTCTTGCCTCCCTTCCTCAGGCTGTCATCCTAACCACACAAGTCTTGCTAGATCGTGTTTCGACCCTCTACAAGAAAAATAAACAGCATCTCAGCAGTACGATCAAAGCAATGAAGCTGGGAGAGTACTTAAGCTGGTCTATGCACCTTCAGCAATGATTTAATTATTTGCTTCCAACTTTTATCCATGTTATGAAAATGGAGCTAAGAGAACGGCACGGTGTTATCATTACAATCCCTCATTTTGATATTTCAGGGATATAAATTGACAGTGACTGTTACAGATGCCATAGAAATATATCCTAACAGATGATATCAAGAGCATCTACATGCAACCACAGATGAGCCCAGAAGAAATCCCTATTACCGTGAACCGTCAAGGATGCCGTGGTCTTCTGGTTTCCACAGATGCATGTATAATCTCCAGAATCGTGTTCCTCCAGGTAGTGGATTGTCAGCTCGGCGGTGACATCCTTTTGTCTCATCTTATATTTGTCGCTAGCCTTGAGCACCTTTTGATCCTTCATCCACTCTACGGGAGTGGCTTTGCTGAGCTCACAGCGCAGAGTTGCTGTCCCACTTTCTGTGGCTTCCTCGTTTCTGAGCTCTTTTGTGAACAGTGCGGGCAGAGCTGGGGGTTGCAACACGGACAGAGAAAACGTCAAAACCCACAGACCCCAGAGTTCGGGACGCGGTAATGTAGAGCGGGAAGAGCTGTCCCTCCCTCTGTGACTGCCGCGGCCAATATAATCCCTTCCATTAACCAAGCAAGCCCCTTCTTGAAACCTGTTGGGTTTTTTGGCCCCTCTACCCTTACTGAGAGGTTGTTCCAGGATCTTGCTTCGATGCTGGCCAATTCTAATTATCAGCCTAAACCCATGCATGGCCAGTTTTCCCCATTTGCTCGTTTGCCAGTATCGTCTTTTAGTTGAAACAGCTTTTCTCCCTCTGTTATAATGCCCCTCCTGCAGTATTTATAGAGAGGGATCATGTCTCCTTTCAATATCATCAAAGTATGTTGCATCGGGACTGCACAAATTTGGCCTTGAGAAGCATGACTGTCCCCCTTCACTTCAAGGAAGTCATCCCTATGCTTCATTAATTCTTATATTAAGAATTAATATAAGAATTAATTAGGATAAAGAAAGGAAATGAGCATAGGTGAAAAGACCAACAAAATAAATAACTCGAAGGGGGATTTCTGACGGGTGGGAAGGTCTCTGAAATAATGCGGTCATAACGTGGTGGCTTTGATTACCGTGGACTGTCAAGACTGCAGAGGTCTTCTGGTCTCCACACACACAGGTATAATCTCCCGTATCCTCCACATGAAGATCACGGATGGTCAGTTCTGCCGTGACACCTTCCTGTCGCAGTCGATACTTGTCACTTGTTTTGAGTGTTTTGTGCCCTTTTTTCCACTCCACTGGGACAGCGGCTTTGCTCAGCTCACAGTGAAGAGTGGCTGTTGCACCTTCTGTGGCCTCCCTGTTTTTTAATCCTTCTTTGAAAAATGCAGGCAGGGCTGAGGGACACCAAGATGGACAGCGTGATTTAATAATCCAAAACAATCAAAACTAACTGTTGCCCTCCTTTCCCCCGGGGGTCTCCTACTGAGTTCTCAGGAAAGGGGCATCGACTTGCATTAGCCTGTCTAAATGTGCCACCAAAAACCAGAGAACTGCATAACCCATCAAGAACGCAGAATGACATAGAAAAGACAGGCCATAGAGCTGAGTGGAAAACCAACATTTCTCCCTGGAAGTTTCAAATGAAAAAACAATCTTCATTTGAAATGTTTTTGTTTGAAAAATTGGGGTTTTCCCCTGGCAATCTGCACCCCCATGTGACGGTCAAAGGTGCTGCAATCTGACATTTCTAGGCAAAATGAAGCAACAGTCTACATCTAAATGAAGCAAAGAGTTCCATTTTGAAATGCCAATTTAAAAGCAATTCCCCCCCCCCAA